ATAAAATTGGACTGGCTGGAGATATGCACTGCATGTATGATGTTTCAGCACTTATTGCTTTCATTATATCTTTACTTAGTCAGTTAATGGACTACTGAACTTTCAAAATCGAGCAGACTTTTTTTTTTTTAAACAAATCTTGCGAAATAAAGAGGGAAAAAAATAAAATAAAAAAAAACCCTATATATCAGCTCCTCGTCTGGCGTAATCCAACATCATTTAATTGATTTCATTGAAGCTACACAGATTTACTCTAGCTGATGACCTGACTCAGTAATTACATTTTGCTTTAGAGTTTTTTTTTCCTTCTGAACAGGCTGTGTTGCCTTTTCATGTTTCCTGTTACTATTCCTTCCCTTTCTTTGTTTTGAGAATTATATGGCTTATTGACTAAACAGCATTAGAAAACAGAAGTTAATGGGCCAAAGTCTCCCTTATTGTAACTTTATTGAGTTCAAGTTATATAGGGATGAATGAGTTCAGGGACTCCTCCAAGGAGGGTTATTGCAGAGGCTGATTCTATAATAAAAGGAAAGATCAGAGCTTTGTTGTCATTTCAGTGGAAATTAAATGTTGCAAGAAGCCCAGTACTTTCAGCTCCATCTCATGTCATGAGACCTGAGGGTACTGAGGACAAAAAAAAAGTAAAATCGTATCTCATTTTAATGGGTTAGAATAAAATCTTTAATAATACAAAGACTGCATTTAATAACACTCCTGTTCACAGTCTACCTATTCCCTACAGCACTCAGAACTGCATGGCCAAAAAGAACAACCCGCTGACAGGTCCCAGCATCTCTGCTGGATCCACATGAAGGAGAACGGTCATCCATTCCAGGAGCAAGGAGACCCTGGGAAGATCTGATTCCCTAAAACTGCAGAAATGCAGCATCAGGAAGGACTAGAGCCAGCAAACACAGATTCTTATGGATGACATAAAAATAGAAGGTTCCTAATGGGTCCCTAACAGGTTTTGGGACAACTTTCCATCCAAAATCCTTCTTTGGAATTTGTTTAGGGTCCAAGCCCTGTGAAACACAGCAGAAATACACTGAGTGTGCGACTGCCCTCAAAGAACTCCAGCCTAAATCTAACAGTACTGAATTGAGGAGGTATATAAAATCAGCAGGGAAGTGAATATGAAGAATACTGTGGATTTTTAAAATAAAACATAATTCCATAAGCTCAAGGTTTTGGTGCTCTGAGTTTTCAAATAGTGCTTTACTCTGTTTATACCGTCTGGATGAGAAACTGAATCTGTGCAAACACCTTTGTGAGAGCCTCAAGTTTCTACGCAGGGTTCAGATGCTGTCCTGACTCTCTCTGCTGGTCTGTGCATGTTTGTTCTGAGCTTCACGTGGTCTCCACGTGATCTGAGCACACTGGAGGCACAATTTTGCTCCAAGGCTTGAGGGAAAGGGGAATTTGTGGAGCAAAATGATATTCCTAGGTTTGAATTTAACTCAGAATTTATGCTTTTCTTACACTTAAGTAAGGATCCACTCTGTATGGATATGCAAAATTATTCCATATCCACAATATACGAATCAGTGACCTTTTAAAGCACCTATAAAAATAATAAAGCATACAGCTGAAGAAAGCAGAAGGTGTGTTATTTTATTAAATTGCTTTATTGCTCATTTTAAAGGAAATACAATAACAACTGTGTAGAATTTGATCATACTCTATTGTGGTTCTGAAGACCTGCCCATCATTGTGGTAACCAAACAGCAAAAACTCTCTGCTGCATATTCAGCATGTAAAGTCTTTCTCAGGATATTACTGGAGGGAAAAAGGCTGTTGCCAAATCAGTTTTAGTTCCAGTTCATTAGTGACTGAAAGTCATTACCATCTGACAGATGTACTAAGGGTTATGTACAGTTTTTAGTCCAGTTTGTAGAGGACAGATGTCCACATCCAGAAAAAAAGAGAGAGAAAAAAAGAAAGTAAGACAGAAAGGAAGGAAGAAAGGAATATAAGGATCAGACAACACAGCTACTTCAGCAACTTTGCTGAAAAGTGTCAGCAAAGAACGAGACATGGCTAAACACACGAACTGATCCTCTTGCTCCTCCTGCTTATTGTCCTCTTACTTATTGTGATAGGCCTGCTAGCAGAAAATAGACAGTACATTAGTAGGAACATATGAGAAAGCATGCTGTGCTCTGGCAGATGTTGTATACGTCTTACTAGGAAGGAGAGATGGTATGTTTTTCTTTGGCTATCAATAGAATATGGAATTTTGCTTCAAAACAGGGATAGCTAAGAAAACCATGTTAGAAATTGTGTTCTGTACAGTACCCACTGTATTCTCAAAATATAACCTCATCACACTTCAGGGACCTGAGAAATTATTAAACTGAGAAATAGAAAAGTGATGGGAAAGATTTTAACACATGATGAAGCAACCAAGAGTGGCACTGCCATGGTTTTACATTGCTTGCATGGCTCACCCCAATGGTAAGAAAGTCACTATCAGTAAGTATCTAAATCTATGTATAGCTAGCCTGTTTCTCGCACTCTCCATGGGAAAACGAGAATGGATTTTTCTCTATATATCTTTAATCAGAAAGCCTGCAAATACTGCCGCAACTTGAATTAAATTGGTGTTTCAATACAAAATAGGGCAGCGACAAGACTGTGGTGGGGCTGGAGCTTGTGGGGAAGAGATCGGCAGCCCTGCACTTGGTTGAGATTTTTGGGCAAGCCAGCTTGTGCTCTGTTACATACGGTATGTTCTGAAATATATATCGCACATTCATTACTGTGTTCTTAAGCACTGCAGGATCCTTCCGGGTGAAAAACGGGGTCTCACTTCTACCTATCTGACAGGATCCCCATAAAAGCAGTATCTGAGAACTTACAAATGAAAGGTTATTAATTTGAGAACGCAGTATGAAATAATGTTTTTGACTGAAATTGCGTCTCCTTATAATTTCCTCCTCTTTTGCGTCTCCAAACATTTTCCTCCTCTTTTGCCTCCCACAAACCTGCATGTCTGACCTATTTAGTTAGACACACCAGAATCTGGGAAAGTTCGGAAACACATCACTGGACAACTTTTATAAAATCTAATGCCAATTTCAGGAGTCTTCAGTCCATTTTTTTTTTTTTTTTTTTCCCTCCTGAAAATTGAGCAGAACTTGAATAATAGCCTAAAATGTTTCCCTGTAATGGTGAAATCAACGGTGTGATTATTTAATGGATATTACTAATCCTAATAAATCAAAAATACAGAAATTGTCAATGTGATCAAAAAGTGGCAAATGAAGACAGAAAAACTCATGGATAAGAAATTCTTATTACTTGAAGTATCTGTAATTCCTACCAATCCTCCAAATATCATGAAGGGCGAAATTGCTTTCAAATCTTAAGTTTGAGTATTTTTCAGCTGCCTCTGATTCTCTGATATCATTCTGCACATATATTTGACTATATTTTCAAGTGAAATGTTGATCCAGACAGCCAAGGTTTTGGAAAAAACACACGAAAAAACAGAAAGCTAGCTCCAAATTAAGTGCAGTGAGAACAACGGTAAAAGTCGCTATGGCGGTTTTTACTTTTTCAACAATTAATCGGTATTTTCAGCACGCCCCCTGTCGAACACGGCTACCCGGTGGAGCAGACCAGCCACGGTGCACGGGCGGACAGCGAGGTCCCTCCTCTCCTCTGGAAGGAGGGATCGTGCCCGGAGGTGAAGGAAGGCGGCGCTCGGCCTCTCTCCGAGGAAGACGCCGGAAAACCCGCGCCTTAGCACCGCCCGCAGCGCCACCTCGGGGGCAGGCCCAGCCATGCCAGCTCCCTGGCGGAAGGAGCCGCCATCTCGCACTCAGCCTTGCCGGCACGGCCATCTTGACGCGGCTCTCCTGGGCGCCGCCATCTTGCGCTTCCGTACAGCATGGAGGCAGCCGTGTAGGTGTGCGAGGCGTGGGCGCAGCCATCTTGGGGCCGCCTGCTCAGTGTCGGCCATCTTCATAAAGGGCAGCTATGGGGTGACGCGGAGCTGTCTCCCTTCGACAACATGGCGGCGCCGTCTCCCTTCGACAACATGGCGGCGCCGGCGCAT